AATACTAAGGGATCCACTAAACTATTAAAACTAATAAATTAGTTCAGCAAAGTTGCAGGTTACAGGATCTATCAAATTGAATTTTTATATACTGGCAATGCACAATCCAAATATGAACTTAAGATAATAATTTCATTAACATCATCAAAAAGCATAAAAATACTTAATAATAAATTTGACAAAAGAAATGCAAGATTTGAACACTGAAAAAATCAAATATTGAAAGAAATTGAAGAAAACCCAAATAAATGAAAAGACATACCATGCACATGGATTCAAAACCTTAATATTGTTAAAATGTCATTATTCCCTCATTTATCTACTATCAATTCCTATCAAAATCTGCCTCATTATCATCCAAAAATATATAAGTGGGTCCATTAGCTACTCCACCATAGTTTAGAAAATGTTCAATATCATTAATTTTCTTTTTCACATTTTTTAAATCTTTCTGGTTAAAATGTAAGCCCTATGAGGGCAAGCAAGAATGTTTGCCTGTTTTGTTCACAGATGTATCCTTATGTACCTAGAACAGTGCTAAGGAAATATTAGGCAAAAGGAAATGTATGTTGAATTGAATTGAATATCTTTTGGGGACCTGAATACCTGATCTGTGATGAAAGGGAGATTGCTTCCATCTTAGTGCTATGCAAAGGTCTAGTACTTTAGAGGATATTACTGCTTGACTCCTTCTGTTATTCTGTTCTCCTTAGAGAGTACTGTACATTTAGTAAAGATAAATAATATAAGGCTTAGAGAAAAACAAAGACCTGTCGTTATTCACAAATGACAATAGAAAAACCAGAGGATCTACCAAATCCATTGCCATTGAGTAGATTCTGACTCATGTGAACCAGACCCCATGTGTTACAGAGTAGAACTTCTCCATAAAGTTTTCGTCACTGTGATCTTAACAGAAGCAGATTGCTAGGCCTTTCTTCCATGGTGCTATTAGGTGGGTTTGAACCACTAACCTTTAGGTTAGTAGTTGCATGAAAACCGTTTGTGCCACCTAGGGACCTTAGAGGATCTATAAACTATTAGAACTAATAAAAGAATTTAGCAAGATGCCTGGATACAAACTTAGCATACAAAAATCATTACATGTCATTAGCAATTAGAAATGAAACTTAAAAATATCAATTTACCATAGCATCCAAAACATGAAAATACATATGAATAAATCTAGTAAAATATATGCAAGACATTTACACAAAAAACAATAAAAGATTATTGAGAGAAATTAAAGAAGACCTAAATAAATGGAAGAATATACCTTCTTCATGGACTGGAAGATTCAGTATAATGATGTCAGTTCTCCTCAAATTAACATCTAGGTTCAGTGCAATCCTAATAAAAATTCCAGCAGTTATATTGTGAACATTGATAAACAGATGCTAAAATATATGAATGCCAATACTAGTGAAAACATTCATATACAAAAACTAATTTCAGATGTATTATAGATCTCAATATGAAGGTAAAATGTAAGGCTTCTAGAAAGTAAAATAGGAGGCTTGGACTAATCAGGATAATTTGTGGATAAAAATGGGGTAGATAATAGAATAAAACTGTAATTCTGTCAAGAAGGAAGAAGGCCCAGGTGAGTCAATGTTGGGTAGGCAATGAACGTGTCTACTGCTGGATAAGTTTTGTATAACAACTATAAAATTTCTGTTGTGTACCGTTGTTTTTGTTGTTAGTTGCCATCTAGTCAATTCTGACTCATGGTACCCCAAGTCTTAGCGAAGAACTGCACTATAGGATTTTCTTGGCTGTAATCTTAATGGAAGCAGATCACCAGGCCTTTTCTTTCAAGGCACTGCTGGGTGGGTTTGAGCTGCCAACCTTTATCAAACCAAAACCCGTTGCTGTCAAGTCAATTCCCACTCATAGCGACCCTATAGGACAGAGTAGAACTGTACCATAGGGTTTCCAAGGAGCAGCTGATGGATTTGAACTACTGACCTTTTGGTTAGTAGTCAAGCTCTTAACCACTGTGCAACCTTTAGCAGTAGAGCACAAACCTTCTGCGCCATCTAGGGACCTTTCATACGATAATAAACGTTCGCTAATAGTCTGTGAGATACAGCTGATCTGGGCTGGGCCAGGTGATTTCACCTGGGTTGATTTTGCATCCCAAATCAGCTATGAGATGGCTCTGTTGATTGTTTCTGTTTCTGGACCCACCCACTTTTTTTTGAAGATTGACTGACTGCTGTCTGACCTCAAATAACTTCAGCTGGCGCAACTGGGGCCAGTCAGTTCTGGCCAGGTGCCTTTTATCCTCCAGTTGGCTAGCCTAGCCATATTCTCATGGCAATAGCAGAGATGTAAGAGAGAGGGCACACCTAATTGTGCAAGTGCTTTTCAAGTCCCCTTAAGGGTATTGATTACAAGTAATATTATATGGTCTTAAAATTACAAACACTGTGCTAGGCACTTAGTCTATTCCAGGGGCATTTGATAGTAATAAAGTATTTGAACGGTCAGTGCTTGCTCTCTTCACTTTGGGGTCATTTAAGAGCTTTGTAAAGATGTTTTGTCTTCTATTACTCAGGTCACTGAGATATTTGAACAGATTTTTGAGAATAAATGGGTCACTTTACAAACTAACAGTCCGTGTGGAAAGGCACTTCTATAGTTCTTTTAATTGCACTGTTTGCTGTGTAATCCAAAGACAGTCTGTGGAAGAAATGGAATAGGCAAATAATCTCCTCAAGCTCTGCTTATACAACTACTGCTCAAGCAGGTCTTTTACTGGCCCAAATGATTTGAAACAATTTACAGTTTTTATCTTCTTGGTTCCCAATTCGTTAATCATACTCCAGAGAACTGGAAAGTTTCTTAACTTCTTTATATTACAGAATCACAACACCAAATTGTTAAGGGAATTGAACGGTCCCTAATAGCAACAGGAGACTTAAATAGTAGTCTTAGTTCCAGGGATAGATAACCCTTTGGAATATTTTGGGGGCAGATCATAGGTGGCGATTTTGGCAGAACAAAATCAGTGTGGTTTCTCTTAAGAATTTTTTTTTTAAATTTAATTAATAGGAGCTATGTATGTTGAGATTTTGTGAATCTGGCAAGATTTGGGTTGGTTCTTTTGTAAACCAAGACCATCCATATCCGTTTCCGTTGCTGTTATTGAATAAAAATGCCTCCACACAGCTGATTTTAACATAGTTTCCATGCAATGTTATCATAATTTAAAACATCAGATGCTTTTACTTCTGTGAACACTGTACTGGATTTACAAGAAAGATCCTGCTGAAGCAACTTTAACTCTAAATATATTGAAGTATAAATTAACCAAAAAGGAAGATGATTATCACATATGCTGAAGTAAATGGGAGCAGACATTATCCTTCCCTTCTTGTATTCTCAGGTCTACTGAATTTATTAATAGGTGTCAGCTAGACCAGGAAACCAGAAGAAAGGTATTTACTTTTAGAAGAAGTACTAGATGGTAGGAAGAAAAATTGAGTTGGAGAACGGAGTACTGAATATGAGACAGATGTTTGGTTTCATGTCCAAGATTTGCTCATTTACCTCAGGCAAATCATTAAATACTTCCAAGTATTGCTCAAGTTTAAAATGAGATGGTTGTATTAGAAGTTCTCTGAGTTAATTTTGGCTCTGATATTATAGAAAAGAAAGAGGGGAACATGTTGGAAAACTTTTTTCTTAGCTGGAATCAGAAATCATTTTAGAGAAAGTGCAAATAGATAAAATAACTTGCATGTAAGGATATAAGGTAAGGATGAAGGAATGGGTTAGGACTCATCTGCATGAGAAAAGAAGATATAATTGTTTTGTTTCTGAAAGGGGGGGCAAGAGAGTGGTGAAGAGGGGACAGAAAGAGGATAGTAACAGAGGAGCCAGAGCAAGATCCATAAAACTGGGTGCTGTGTGGGGAAGGGTCAATAGAGAAACCCTCGGTGAAAGTAGTTGTGTGTGCTGATCAAAACAGATTTGGGGACTAGGAATGTCTTAACATTCACCTCCCTGGAAATAATCAGTAAAGTGTTTCACAGTCACCCATGGATTGAGAGTTTAAATTTTAGTAGAGCATGAAGAAGGCTGAGTTTTTATCTGAGCTGATGTGGTGAATATGAAGAGCTGCAAGATGGTTGCTGTTTCAGAGCATAAAGTGTGTGGGGGGGTGGAGAATTGGGGGACGAGGTTGGATAAATTGACAGCAATGAAAATATGAAGCCCATGTATCTGATGCTTCATTTGAACTCTGTCTTGTGTGGCAATGGGTTTTAAACATATGTCTCCATGTGTGATCACTTGTGAGACATGTTGCAAGTAATTTCATTCAAATAATAAAATAACCTTTGAAAATGATTTCTTTTCTAAGGAAAGAATGAATTCAAGATTATTTCCATATTAAAAGATGCCTTCTTGAGACAGAAATCAGGTGGCATGACAGTGAGTTGATATTCTGTATTATCCTAGGCTCCTGATAGTCTGTAATGTGCAGCATATCTATCATATTAAAATAAGTTTCAGTTTTATGAATTAATAAGCAAATCCTTTCCATTGTAACATTTACAAAAGTTACTCCTTGTCCAACATGCCTGTTCCTTACCATGATTAGGTCCAACGAATCTTTTGATTAACTCTCAGAAGCTATCACTGAGCAGCTATCCCCAACATAGTGTTAGGGTTCTGACACTTGTTTGCCTAGCACCTTGGGCACACTTACATTGTGGTACAGTTATTGTTTAATTACTTGATTGTGTCCTCTACTTGACTGTGAGTTGTTTGAGAGCAGACTTTGTGTAATAAGATCCTTAGTGCCTTACAAAGTATTCAATAAATCTTGAATGGATGAATAATTAATGAGATGTTGCTAGTAATATTGGTGGGACAATGACCGCTTTAAAGTACCACTAAAAATTTTCCTTGAATGTTGGTTGAGTTTAAATTATTTAATATATAGAGTGTATACTTCTACTCATTATTACAGATGTACATGAAGGAATAAAATGGTCAAGGCAAACTGTACAATAATTTCAAATTTTATTTTTCTGGGATTTTCCCACTACCCCAAAGTTGAGATCATCATATTTGTGCTGTGCCTGCTGATGTACCTGATCACCTTGCTGTGCAATATTATTCTGATCTCCGTCAGCATCCTGGATTCCTACTTGCACACCCCCATGTACTTTTTTCTCATCAACCTCTCCTTTCTGGACATCTGCTACACGTCTTCTGCTCTCACTCCAATGCTGGCAAACTTTGTTACAGGGAAAAACAGCATCTCATTCTCAGGATGTGCTGCTCAGATGTACTTCTCTCTTGCCATGGGCTCCACTGAGTGTGTGCTCCTGTCCATGATGGCGTATGACCGATATGTAGCCATCTGCAACCCCTTGAGATATCCCATGATCATGAACAGGAGGGTTTGTGTACACATTGCAGCTGGCTCCTGGGTGACGGGCTGCCTCACTGCCCTGGTAGAAACTGTGTCTGTGCTGCAGTTGTCTCTCTGTGGTAATAACATCATCAATCATTTCACCTGTGAAATTCTGGCTGTCTTGAAACTGGTTTGTGTAGACACCTCCATGGTAGAATTCTTTATGCTGGTGATTAGCGTACTTCTCCTTCCCATGCCAGTGCTCCTCATTTGTATCTCCTATGCCTTCATCCTCTCCAACATCCTGAGAATCAGCTCAGTGGATGGACGAAGCAGAGCCTTTTCAACATGTGCAGCCCACCTGACTGTGATAGTTTTGTTCTACGGGACAGCTCTCTCCACGTACCTGAAGCCCTCAGCTGTAGATTCACAGAAAATAGATAAATTTATGGCTTTGGTATATGCTGGATTAACCCCCATGTTGAATCCTATCATCTATAGTCTACGGAACAAGGAGGTAAAAATGGCTGTGAAAAGAGTGCTGGTTAGAAACCCTCTTTGTGCTCTCTTTATTCCCAGTAGCAAATAATAATGATCAACATTAATGAAAGGATTGTTTAGGTGTCACTTTACTCCAAAACATCCGGGTGGTGGAGGAAGACACACATTTTAAATGAGATACGCTATTTCCTAATTCTCTTCTTGATTGACCACTGGAACTCCTAAATAACATAAAGATATCTTACTTAAACATATCTGAAACTTTTATATAACAGGTCTCAAGATAAGAAATTTTGTTTTTTTGGGGGGGTGGTTATAAAGAGTATAAAGTCTACTGTAAAGATAGTCTATTATAGAGTATTCAAAATGTTACACCTGTAATATACAAATGTAATAACTCTAGTAGATTTTTGAGCTAATTTATGATTAATCTGTTTGTTTTTGGTAGAGCTAAATTTAATGGAAACAATCACATATTCTATAAATGTGCGGCTGTATTTTACGTGTGTGTATATTTGTACGTGCAGGTAGATGTGTATGATGTGAATGTCTATATAGAAATGTAAAGGGTCTGCAAAAATATAGTCCTAAATGGAAGTGGGATGGAAGAGTGTCAGTCAGGAAAAAAAAGAGTCAGCATTTACTAGTATGTTGTTGATATAGGGTGCTGACATTATGTTTTAAACTCAAGGAAGCTACTGGGTGGGTCAGTGAATCTACCAATACCCTTTCTATTGTACTTTTCCTGGCCACCTGGTTCTTCCAGTCTAAGGGTATAAATTAATCCATTAGCACTTATAAGGAAAAGTCATGATCCCTATATTATAGAAATTACAATACTCAAAACACACTAAATTGGCATAAAAATACTGAAATATATGAATATATTTTAATATATGGAGCTCTGGTGGTGCAGTGGTTAAGAGTTTGGCTGCTAACTAAAAGGTTGGCAGTTTGAATCCACCACCCGCTCCTTGGAAACCCTATGGGGCCGTTCACTCTGTCCTGTGGGGTTGCCATGAGTTGGGATCCACTTGACAGCAACAGGTTTTTTATCTTAATATATAAAAACCAACATACAAGTAATTACAAAATGTATGCTCAATGGCTTCCATGGAATTTGTATATCCTCTTTGGAACAGATGACTAAATGTGAGGTCAATATGCACATCTTATTTGCTCTTTATCACACATGCCTCACTGGAGTTAATGAAACTGGAGTGATGGCTTTGACCTAGGATGAGGGTGTCCCCTTGGGCAAGAGACAGAAGTTGAACTAGGCTTAATTTTGGGACGTGTGAGAAAAATCATACCAAAGATTGAATTAGTCCTTATCAAGACAGGTAGTTATGTTGAAAGCAACGATCTATGGTTATTGGGAGGGTAAAAGAAGGATGAGAGAGTAGAGGTAATAGGAAGGAGGAATGACTATAATTTTATGTGTAAGAAGGAAGGATAGTATATATAAGTAACAACTAACACAATGATTGGGTTTAAAACAATTATTAATTCCACCTAATCATGCTCACTCATTCTACCCTCATTCATACCTTACTGCCTGCAAAATGGCAAGGTGAATCTGACCTATGGGTGAGAAAGCAGAGTATGTTCAAGCCTCACAAGCTTCTGTTTCTACGTTGAGCCTTCCTGAGTTTGTCTTCCTTTGAAAGTTTTCTGCTGTATGGTCTTGGGCCTATTATCTGCAAGTGAGTACTTTTCTGTAACTGACTTCACTGAATATTTATAAACCTATGACAGTAACTTAATTTGGCGAGGGCCTCCTAAGGTTTTGATTAGGATTACAGGCTATTGGTAAAGTAGTTTGTTCTACCTGACTTGAGCCAACATCAGTAACATACACACAGAATATCCAAGATTATCTCATTCTTATATTACCTCTGATTAATCTTTTTATATTTTATAGTTGATTATATTAATATGTTCAATAACAGGAAGGGGTATTATCACTATTATTTTTAAATAAAATTTAAAAAAAGAGATGGGAAGTCAAGGTTAATGGGATATTCAATATCAGAAATGATCAGTGCCTTTAAAAGTCAACACATAGAATCTCTGTACTGAAGAAACAACAGGGATATATTGTTATGAAAAAAGTTTTTTGAACAATGTGCAGATCAATGTTCAAATAGGAATGGATATTAATAAAAACATCTTGTTTCTTATCTTTTCCACTGAACCTTCATTATCACAGTAAAATAAAATATGCAGTACCCCTGTTCTCAGCTTAAATCAGAAAGCATATTTTTCTACTTTAATGTTTTATATACTCCTATTGAGAAAATTAAAAGTCTTGGAAAAAACTATTACGTTTCTCATTTACAGTGCCAAGACTTGTCAATTTAGTTATTGCTGCTACAGGAGTAGCAATGTGATGTTATGGAAATACATGGGATTTGCCACTGAAAAACTCAGGATTGAATTTCTATTCTACTTCTTAGCTGTGTGACCTTGGAAAACATAAATTTGATCTCTCTGAGCATAAGGCAGAACAATATATGTTGGGAGAGCTATCTGCAGAATAAAGTCTCTTAAGGATGGCTCATTCTGTTCTCCTTGGATATAAGCTTAGGTCAAGGGATTGACTGTTTTAAGTGTCTAGAGGGAATATGATGTGACAATGAATAGCCCTTTGTTTAACCTGAAAAAAGTGCAAGTTCTATTTGGGAACACCTTTGCTGAAAAACCATTCACTCATCATTCAAAAAATATTTTATGAAAGCTTACTGTATTTTGGTTGCTAATGACAACCTATCCAAAAGTACATTAAACATTGTACTGGAACTACAGAAGCTACACAGAGAGAGTGAGATACAGGGGCAGGCACACACACACACACGCACATGCACACACACACTCAGAAAGAGAGAGAGAAACAGAGAGGGGGAGAGAGAGAGGGAATAGTGTGATTTTGACCAAGTGAATTAGGAAAGTTTTCAAAGACAAACAATTTTAAAATTGGAGCTTTAAAGGATTAATAAGATTTTAGTAGGCTAAGATGTGAGTGAAACACTTGTTAGCAAATTCATGGAAAGGAAAGGGGGTAGTGATCGTTCCAGGAATATTGACTGAATTCACTTAATGGGTGGAAGATGGAATGGCTGGGTGAAATCAGATTTTAAGAATCTTACAGTAAAGGAACATAAGTTTGGACTTTATTTTGTAGAAAATGAAAATCAGTGAAGATTTTCATGCACTCTTGTGACATGATAAGACTGGTGTTGTGATAAGGCCTGGTCTTGTGATAGGATGGAGGATAGGTTGACAATGGGAGAGATGAATTAGAGGACCATTGCAACATTGTCCAAAAGATGTAGTGAAGACTTAAAATAGGGCAATGGGATGGAGAAGATAGGACACACATGGGATGTACAGGGGAGTAAGATTGGACTTGAGAATTTCACAGATATGGAGAGGAAGCTATCAAAGATGATTCCATTGATTCTAAGAAAAGACCTCTGATTTAACCATTGATTGGATGAGGAGTAGCTTGGAGATGGTGGCTTCACAGAGACAGAGGTCTAAGTTGGTTGACTGGTTGACTATGAATTGATTGTCAGACATCTATGTGATAACATGGACTAGTGAATTCCAAGACAGAAGTCAGAAATACAGGCATCTATTTGGAAGTCTTTTGCACTGAAATGGAAATTGATATGTGTGGCTGATATGGTCTAGGAAAAATTTAGGAAAATTGTCTTTAAAATAGATGGCTTATATTTTTCTATATTTATCAGGAATATAAGAGAAATAACAGTACACATGAATTCTGGAGTGAAGAATTCCAATTTCGTTTTTTTCTACAACCCAGTCTATCTTAGGCAATGTATTAAACATCAAAGTCCAATTTCCTCTTCTGTAAAAGAGGAATGATGACACACCACAAAATTTTTACAAAGATTAAATAAACAATATATAAAAAAGCATCTAGTATTGTTCCTGGCACTTAATAAGAAATCAATTCTGTTTTCCCCTAAAGAAATACTCATTTTTATCTGGCATTATTTGAATGCACTGGCTCCATCTACAAAGGAAGAAATGATGAAGTAAAAGATCGGAAAAGATTTCAAAGGGTGGCTTGAGAAAACAAAGTAAAGTATTATAGTGAGATGTGCAAAGACCTGGAGTTAGAAAACCAAAAGGGAAAAACATACTTGGCATTTCTCAAGCAGAAAAAAAAAAACTGAAGAAAAAAATTCAAGCCTTGAGTTGCAATATTGCAGGATCCTAAGGCCAAAGATTGAATGATGCAGGAAACATCAAAAGAAGATGGAAGAAATACAAATACTCACTGTACTACAAATAATTGGTTGACATTTAACCATTTCAGGAGATAGCATATGATCAAGAACCGGTAGTACTTAAGGAAGAAGTCCAAGCTGCACTGAAGGCATTGATGAAAAACAAGGCTCCAGGATTTGATGGACAGCAACTGAAATGTTCCAACAAATGGATTCAACCCTGGAAGAGCTCACTCATCTATGCCAAGAAATTTGGAATACAGGTACCTGGCCAACTGACTGGAAGAGATCCATATTTGTGTCCATTCCAAAGGAAGATGATCCAACAGAATGTGGAAATTATCAAACAATATCACTGATATCACATACAAGTACAATTTGCTGAAGACAGTTAAAAAATGGTTGCAGCGTACATTGACAGGGAACTGCCAGAACCATCTTTACCTCAACACTGAATCCCCAGAATAGAGTGTCATGGCCACTCAGTCAATTCCCAGACTTGATCCAGTTTACAGACCCACAACCCCTTGAATGAAGGGGAGGACGAGACCCCTTGAGGAAGGACCCCACTATACTGCCCAAAATTTATATTGTTAATCTTTCTCCAAGCTTTCCCCAAAGGGATCTATGGCCTTTTATGAGAGTGTCTGTTCTCTGGGGAAAAGGAAATAATCAGACTTTTTGGGGATTACTGGGTACTGCTCTGAACTGACACTAATTCAGGAGACCCATAGTGTCACTGAGGTCCACCAATAAGAGTAGGGTCATATGGAGATCAGGTTATTACTGGAGTCTTAGCTCAGATTTGTCTCACAGTGAGTACGTTGGGTCCTTGAACACATCCTGTAGAGATTTCCCCGGTTCCAGAATGCATAATTGGAATAT